AAGTGATATTATTTTTTATATTAAACTTTCAAATTTTAAAAATTATATTAGTATCAACTAATTTAAAATTAAATCACTATAAATCACATATATATATATTTTTTAATATTTATTATTGTATTTATTAAATTTAAATTTAAAACTTTATTAAATAATATTTTTATCTAAATATATAACTTTATTTTATTTAAACTTTATTTAAATCAAAAAATTAAATGATCAAATATCTCAAAAGTCCCACTCAAATGTCAAATCCTTGTCATATGAGCATGACATAGCAAATATTTTTCCATCCAAGCAGCCAGGCGATGGAGTCCCAAACGGCAGTTAAGTTTGGCGTAAGAAGAAGGGCTTAATTGCTTTGATCCCAGAGTTCAAGGGCTTACACGCATCAATTAAAGTCTAGGGGCTTAATAGCGATTCTGGGGTTAGTTCAGGGTTAACGTATGGTTTTGCCTATATAGGCTTATACTTTACTGGACCTGCCGACGCGCAACAAATTGCGTTGGGATCAAAAAAAAAAAAGGAGGTGCAAAACCATTCCTAGGAGAACTCAATACATATATATTTTTTAAACTTAAAAGTTAGCCTCGATCTCATTTTATCTGTCCGACATTAGACTATTAAAGACAACTATATCCCACATATGAATCCAGTATAATATTATTTTTTAGATAATAATTAGTGTATTATTTGATTTAATATATTTTATAATATATATTAAAAAATTATTATTTTTAAATTTAAATTTAGAATAAAAAAATACATATAAAATTTAATGATTTTATAAAAAAATATTGATTAATATGTAAAATTCAAGAATATATCGATTATTATTTTATTTTTTATAAGAACAAATTGAGTATACTTGTACATTATTATTCAATTAATTTGCACTAGAGGTAGAGAGAGTTGTAAAATTATAAAGGTTAGCATTTCTTGGACGGCTGGGATTATCTCAGGATGCCCGTGAGTGTGTGCATGAAATGCTTTGGAGAAATCGCAACTTTTTAATCAGTTTGTGGTTATATGGTATTCGAATCTCATGCAAAAGATAGCGATTCATGATCTGAGAGCCGACCACACGAGGGTGGAATATATATAAGGTTCATTTTCTGCCAGAAATTGATGCCAGTTTTTTGACCACTTGATCAAAGTGTCTTGTGTATTTAAGGAATATCATGTGAATGCATGCGTAAATGATAAAACGTTATTCAATTTAGGTAAAGAAACTCCATTATTAATTATATATGAGGGGTAGAACAACTTGGGAAACTAATTAAAGAGGGTGTGCATGCTTCGTATCATCATTCTTGACCTGTGTTCAATTACGCAATTAAATTCTGTTTGCCGTTAAAATATGATGATTAACAATTGATTATCTACATAACAAATTTCTGACATCAGTTACCAATTAATCTCTGACTTTTTTTTCTTTCTATATTTATATTCTATTAAGACGACTGACATAACAGATATTATACGCATCTAACATTTATTATTTTTCACGTTAAAATCTATATGATAAATCGTATATCAAGGTTTTGTTCCTAAGTGGGAGCAGGGGAAAACATTGACTTGATGCGAATCTAGTCAAGGTACACCTCACTCAGCCAGGTTACCAACCAGGGCTTGCAGCGTGAGTTGCCCGATACCTCCAACTAGCTAGATAACATTCTCTTGATAATTAGCTAGCTAAGTGGCCCGCCAGAGATGACCTTGATGACGATGTTGATGGTCCACACTAATTAGCTAGCTAGCTAGGGCACATTAATTTTAGTATACATGGTTTGGTATTTTTGTGGGGTCGGAGTTAGAAATAAATAAAAGCTTGATACTGAGGGAAGACCGAAGACCCCATCAGAGAAAGAGAAGAAAGTTTGACGTTTTTATATGGTAAACATCAATAGTCTTCAAATGGGGACAAGATACAAATCCGTGATTCTCGATGGAAAGACGGTAGCATTTTTCTAAGTTTGTGATTATCATCAGTACGTATGTGCAAGTGACTGACAGAACAGCACCTTAATTTGGTCACAAGAGTCACGAACTTGACAACCCTAAATCCTGCTTCTTTTAGATGCACAGCTACATTAATTTTATTATTTGAGATATGTTTGTAAATGCCGGAGTGCGCGGCCTTAATTGGTTTAACTGTAATTTTTTTAATTAAAAAAAAAAAAAAAAAGAACCGACAAATGAGAAAAGAAGTGTTTGTTATACGTTGTAAGATGTTTTGTCTAAAGACATTAATCAAGTCCATTAGAGAATTAGAGATGCCCTTAATTTGATTCAAAAGACAAGACGAGGTCATATATTAACAGCTAGATGATTATATATCCGTGGGGATGTTAAGCAATATCCCTACAAACAAGTCCCTACCTGGGGACATAGTTGAGCATTATTTTGAAATTGGAACCTATATATATTTGACTTTACAGGAGGAAACTATATTAGAGTGGGCTCTGTTTATATGACAAAATAAAATTTTTTTACATTGAGTTCAGCGTACTTTTTATACTCTTAAAAATAAAAATTAATTTTGACTTTATAAAAAACTCCTCATATTTTTTAAATGCTTGCTACATTTCGCAAATGTGAACTCAACAATGATATAATGCTAATTTTTAATTAGTAGCCGATGAACTACTAGCGTATATGGTTTTTTTTTTTTTTTTTTAAGGAGAAAATTTGGGAGAAAGGGGAGAATAGGGGTCAGTATTGCAACTCGAACTCTGATCGAAATCAAAAGTTAGGCACACTTGAATCAAGGTAACCAAAGTTGCAGGTGCAGTATATATATTTGTATTACAAATAAATAGAGAATAATTAACGATCTGTTAGTTCGAGTAAAAGAAATTTAGTTTCTTTTAAATAAAATCTCGAGTTCGAGTCTTATGAATGAAAAAATAAGTATTGAAACTTCCACCCCAAGTGGGATCCTACACAACTCGATTCCGGATTAATTGGATCCAATATGGTTACCAGATATCGAAAAATTAGTAAAAATAAATAAATAAATGAAGAATAATATAATATAATATACATCAATGAATTGCCTTGTCACCAGGAAACAATATACGTGGCCGTGTCACTTACGCCAATTAGTATGGAATTTCTCATTTTGCTATTCATATATGCATATGTATGCATGCACATGACATGACAATATCATACATGCAGATTGATTATATATATGTTAGTAGACAAAATAGGGAGGGACCAGGCCAGGAATATTATTTTCCAGGGAGTATTTTCCCCGTTTGTCAAGGGCTAGGGTTTTTTAATTTCTCATTTGCTGAATTGCTGCAAAGGGCTTATCTGCTATAGTCCACAGAAAAATTCACACACATACATCTCTTCTTTTCTGGCCGGAGCTCGATCAGGTAAGATCATGAAAGGAGATGAAGCCATTACATCTACATGACTTTGCAGTTCTTGGTCGTCTCTGTCTGATCTTTTACTTAGAATTGCTCAAGGATGATGAAGGGAAGTGATGATCATAGCTTTGAAGATTCAAGGACAAGCCTGAAAAGTAGTGGAGATGAAGAGGAGGTGGAAACAAATTTCCGGCCAACAAGTGGAGAAGAGAGCTCTGGGAACAGCTCAGTTGAAGAAAATGAAAAGAAGGAGGAAGCTTCTGGATCTGTTAGGCAATACAATCGGTCCAAGATGCCAAGACTTCGGTGGACTCCCGATCTCCATCTTTGCTTTGTTCACGCAGTTGAAAGATTAGGAGGACAAGAAAGTAAGTTCTATTATGTTCTAACACCCACTCTCCTTAATTTAAGAAAATTATTCGGGAATTAATATTAATATCGTCTTAATTTCTTTCTAATTTGGTAATGAAGGAGCTACTCCTAAACTAGTTCTTCAATTGATGAACATCAAAGGTCTTAGCATCGCACATGTGAAGAGCCATCTACAGGTAAGTATTAATTTCATTTGATCTACTAAATTTAATTGTTTAATTCTTCAATAATATTTATTTGTTTTTGAATTTGGGTTTTTTCAGATGTATAGGAGCAAGAAATCCGATGAACCCAATCAAGGTAACCTTTTAATTCAATCTCTAAATATAGGATTTTTTCCCCCCCTCAAACTATTAATTCATATTATTTTATGGCTTTTAGGCTGTGGTCGAGATCAACAGATATACAACCTTAGCCAATTTCCCATGATGCAAAGTTTCAATCAAAGGCCTTGTACTAGTTTCACCAGGTTTGATTAATTTATTAGAAGCTAATTAAATTTAAGCTTTTTCTCATCCCCGTTTAAGCACCAAATTAATATAATTTTTCTTTCTTTTTCTTGAGAAGGAATGCTGATCATCAATCTTTTTCTTGGAGCGGCGGGCTGCAGCACACACCGGGAAAAGGATTTTACAACTCAGTTTCTGAAAGAATAATGGGAAGCTACAACTGCAACTATGGTGATTCACAAATGGCTAGTTCATCATTGAATGCGGAAGCTTCTCTTCAAGACCCCCAAGAATTCTTCCAAGGGTTCTGGCAAACGCATACGGATCATCTAAGATCTTGTTCCGGGGAGCAAAGAATTGGAGGTGGGGCACAAGAGATGCTGAAGAGGAAGACACTGGATTCAGACATTGACTTGGATTTGAAGTTATCTCCAAAAACAGCACACGACGTTAAATTTAAAAAATGTTCGGAAATGGAAGGTGGTGGTGATATAGAAGAAAAAGTAGAGTGTAGTTTGTCTCTTTCTCTGTCTTCTTCATCATCATTTTCCCAAAAGCTTAGCAGATTGAAGCAAAAAGGAGATGGTGATTGTAGTAGAAAACATGCAAGGACGATATCAAGTACCCTAGATCTCACTTTATGAATGAGACAGTTCTAAGTGAGATATTGAGGTTCTTAATTGTCCAAAATAATTTATCATTGTACCAGCAGAAAAAGGTAAGGTAAAGCAATGGAGTACTTTCTTCTTCAATCCAATTTGTTGTATTCTTTGTTACTGTCTGAATATGATATTGTAAATAAATATATGTATAGCAAGTTGCAGATGGCGAATACCTAGGAATTTTACATCAATATATAAAAATGTCTCTCAGCATCAACATGTACTGTGTTGTCGGTATCGGGGGCGAAAAAAAAAAAAAGGTGACATTGATCGTATATCATCTCATCAAGATTGATCAAGAGCCAAGTATGTCTGGAACTGCACACAACAAACTTACATTATCTGTCTGACCCTATATATTTGTTACAGAAGAGACAGCTTTTTATTATATTGTTGTCATCATGGATACAGGTTGGGTGTAAAATTTTCTTTTCAGATTAATCATCATGGTAATTTGAATTGAGGTCAGGGGAAACCATCAAGAAGTTTAATTAGCCATAGACATGGTTATTAATTTTCTGTCCTTCAGGTACATTATATAATTGCTTGTAGCTATGCAGCAAGTACTACTATTGGCGTTAATTAAAGTCCTTGTGGACAATTTCTGTCGGAGCTTATAATTAATGTCAACAAGATTCATAACAAAACTAACTATATTAATTCTTGTCTTTTTCGTTTACTTTTTTTATACCCTTAAATAATTTAAAACTTTAACAAAGCGTATTAAAATAGTTTTTCTTACTAAATTTCAATTTAGTGCCTTTTGGACATTATACAAATGTTACGTGAGTCCAAAAATATATATATATATATATATATATTTCAATGGTTAGAGGGCAATAAATCACAAGATTAAAAGATGCATTGTTAATTGCATAGAATGAGAAAATAGTTAAGGTACCAAAGATCTAAAGGTTGATTATGTCTTAAAATGGGATGTCTATGTGATGCTGTGTCTATGTAGTCATTCAAATAAAATTCTATTAAGAAAACTAACACAACTTTAATGGATGAAACACTTTGATTTGTTTTTGAAATTTCTAGACCAATTTAGGGAAAAAAAATTTAAACTTCATAGAATGAAGTGATAACATGATAATAGTTAATGTTACACTAAATATTTTTATATTTTTTAAAAAATATTTACAAGTTCTATAATTATTGAACACCTCTTTCTCTCAATGCGCCAGTGCCAAGCAAAAATATGTGCTCTGAAAAAAAAAAAGAGAAAGCACCCGATCCAAAAAAAAATAGTAAGCCCACTTCGTTGATAAGCCCAATATTCGAAGGTCTTGCAATAGTAAGCCCACTTAATTGACAAGTCCAAAACGCCAAGGCCTAATAGTAATAGAAGACTAGAACTACAGAAAACCATAGGTCCACAAATGGAAAAAAGGGAGCCCATTAAGGTCCAGTACAGGACGGCACCGTTGCGTTACCCGCACAAATCTTGAACGGAAAACACAGCCAACAAAACGAAAGTTGGAACGGATTTCAGACACAGGGGCTGAAATGGCCGGACCAATACCGGATTCCAATTTCCACCATGAAATTTCCCTCCTCAAGGTGCTCCGGCAGAATTACCCAATTTCCATTTGGCCTTGAGTGTTTGGTTGCGGCTGGGCAACAGCATGTACTTGAGAACGGTTTCTTTTGTGGACGGGAAAGACTGCGCTTTCCTCGTTGGCCGAGACGATTGAGGGTTGGGATATGAGTAACGGAGGTAACGGCAGAACTAATCAAGACGGCATTGTGTTGGACGAGGAGGAAACTGGCGGCTTGAGAGGCTGTCGAAGACTTTCAGAGTGATTGAACAGTTCCATGATTGCATTTGAGGAATTACTGGGTGAGTTCTACAAAAAAATTTTGTTCTTTTAATTTATATTGAGTTCGTTGGTTTAGTATGAATGTGAAGCTTTTTTCTTTTTCATTTTTTCTCTTTGCTCTGGATCCTGAAGATACAATGCTGAATCTGTAGTCAATGGAATATTCATTTATTTTTGGAGTACTAGTATGAATGACATGGGGGTTGGTTATTCAGCTAATGCAGGCAAAAACATTTGGATAGATGTTAATTACAGGCACTTAACTCAGCTGCATTATTATTTTTCATTTGGATATGTTTAGTGTGTGTCAATTATGTAGAAGTTAAGAATGACTGTAATTAAGATTGAATCTGCTGCAACGTTATAGGAAGAGTGAATATCTGTGAAAATTCTTTTTTGTCCATTCTACAAAAATTTACACTCTATTATGTGTGAGGATTCTGAGAATGAGAGCAATACCTATTCAATAATCTAAGCAATGCGTCTGCTTTTCTTCTTGCTTTCATTGAACCATCAGCAGCCAAACTCTGAAGAGAGGGAATACTTCTTGGGTTTATCAGCAGTCTGCCTGCGACCTCCTCTCCTCCATCTTTGCACAGCCCCAGCAGCAGTGTGATCGAGTGGTCTTTCCCTTTGGCAGATCCAAATCTCAAGAGATCAATAATAAGGGGTACCAGTACTCGACTTTTCTTTATTTCCTTCAGTCCTTCAGGACAGCCTAAGAGCAGAGCCAGCAGGGTCAGGGCATCATCTGTTATCCCTGCCTTGTCATCCATCAACTGCTCAATGAGCAAAGGTACTCCCCCAGCTGACAAAATGGATGATTTATTTTCATCATATCTTGCAAGACTGAACATTGCAGTTGCCGCATCTTTTTTTCCAGCTGCTGTGCCTTCCCTGAGGAGCCCAACTAATGCCGGAATTGCCCTGGGACGAGCTCCGATGGCAACCTTGTGGTCATCCAACATTGACAGGCTAAAGATTGCAGCTGCTGCATTTTCCCTTGACTCCATGGTTCTCCCTGATTCCAGAACTTTTATTATGCTGTCTATTGCTCCAGCAGCCATTATCAAGATCTTATTGTTGTCAAAAATGGAAAGGTTGAGCAAGGCAGTGACAGCATTTTCCTGAATTCTTGGATCACTGGAGCTTAGCAATGTCACAAGAAAGGGTATGGCTCCTGCCTCAGCAATTATCCTTCTATTGTCCATCCCATTTTTGGCAAGCAGTCGCAGCTCATAAGCTGCCCGCCTCTGAATCTCTGGAGACCCCATTGCTAGTTTTCCCACCAAAAACTCAGCTGCCATTTTGACAGCATCAAGAGCAGCTTTTGCAGTAGAAACGTGATCAACGGCAATATTCTCATGTGTTTTGGTTTGGCTATTACTTCTCTCCAACTGTGGGGCAGCTGAAGATGAACATTCTGTCAATGGGACATTGTTCTCCTGGCACCATTGATGCACTAAACTCTTCAGTGCATAATTTGGTGTGATGGCCATGTGAATCAACTTCTGTCCACTCTTTGGACATGTATAATGTCCTGAGTTGATCCACTGAGCTATTGAGTTCCGGTCATAAGAGTGTCCTGATGCTACAATCACTGGATCCCTCATCAGGTCAAGTGAAATTGGGCAACGAAACTCATCAGGAATGTTCTGGAACATTGATAGAGAAGATGAAGAATAATTCATATTTCTGTTAACATAAGTTCCACCCCTCTGCCTGATGTCTCCTTTAGTCTTGTCATTCTGTTCTCCAGAGAAAAACAAGGATTTGGAGTATGAAACAAGGGAAATCAGATTGTTTATATTGGAAACTGCTATCAACCCTCCTGTACCTGCCTGTTTCTGTGCATCTGCCTCAAGCTTAGAAATTTCCCCCTCATAATCAAATAGACTTTTCAATCCAATGCTGCTCAAAACTTCTTTCACTTTCTCCATATCCACGAAGCTTCTGTTCTTGCTCTTTCTTTCACCATCAGATGCCATTATTTCCAGAAGCTCATCTCTTCTTTGAAGCTCTTTAGTATCAACAAACAAATCCACCCTTTTTGCTTGCTTGTAAAGAAGCTCAACCTGCTCCCTGGTATCCATAGTGATATTCAGCAAGCTCAAAGGTAGAATATCAAGAGCCATTCCCATCTCCTTCACCAGCACATAGAACTGATTGGAGATTATCTCAGTCTGTAAAAGCCCCCAGAGAGAGCTTCCATCCTTGCACCCCTGAATCAAAACGTTAACTCTTCTAATCACAGAGAAAAGTTCAGTGAGGCATAAGATTGAAGGTGGACGAAGTGGACAGTTTGTCTCCTGAATTTCTTCAAACAAAGAAGAAAGAAGCTTGATCCTCCTTATTGTCATCGAAACATTCCTTATTTGTATTAGTGGAAGCTTCTCCATTGAACAAACTTCATGGCATATATGAATCAGAGACTCCAACAAAGTCCCAGGAGGCAGAAACCTTGAAGAAGCCATCAAAGCAGGCAGACCTGAATCCATCACTACCTTCTGTTTCTGTCCATTGTGACTGTTACAATGTCAAAGTTTTTTGTCAGGGTTTTTAATGCTTGAATCAAAGTTATAAATCAATGTGGGTATCTTTTTTCTTTTTTTTTTCAAACAAAAATTACCAAATTATTTGCATGATTTTTGACCATTTCTGCTTGTACAGTTGACATATGAGACAACAGGATGGATCCAAAAGGGGAAGCGGACTTTCTCTTTGTTGCTGCCACTTGGAGGGCTCTCCTAGCTTAAGGGGTCAGTTATATTTCCCTCCAATTTTATATTCAAAACACAGATCAGCCATTGTCAAAAAAAAAACTTCTTGTCTTCTAGCTTCTATTTTTCTTGCAAATGTTTATGTCCGTTTTCCTAGAACTACCTTATAAATTAAGGACACAACTCAGGTGAAGAGGTGCATGTTGAGGATTGATTGCTTTGTAGTCTTTGATAACAGGTTCAAGGTTGACTTTTGTATATATATTTAGTTATCTCTCGTTCTTTTATCACCCAACCTTTCAAAGCAATGCATAATTAGAAAAAAGTCATATTTTTCGAGCAAAAGACCAAGATTGCATTATTGCCCCCAGCAAAATATTACTAGTTTACTAAGTCAATAAACAGATATTTATCTTTTACAAAAATACAAAAATACTGTTGAAAAGGGTAATAAGATGTAAGTATCCTTTATTACTTCCAAGCGGACATCAGTTGGATTATGCTAATCTAGACTTTACAAGTGTTATATTACATGTGAATGTAAAGTCTCACATTAGCGAGATATGATGAGAATATTATCAATTTATACTTCGAGATCATGAACCTGATAAATTAGGTTTTTTTAGTTCAAAATGATATTTAAAGTTATTCCGTAAAAACGAAGCTAAAGCTTTCAAGCTTCTAGATTTTGACCAGGCCCTGGCCACCGGCTGAATTGGAATGTTGCATTTGGACTATGTACGTGGAAGCAACAATTTTTAATTCAGTTAAGGTTTCTGCTTTTCTAATATGTTTTTATATATATATATATATATATATATATATATTAAGCACATGAAATGGTGATATATAAGGCCACCATGTGTATGTAAGACAAGACATGTATGCCAATAGGAATATATTAAGAACATAAGCATGAAAAAGGACATTATATTTCTTTATAAATTAAACTAATGTCCTTTTACCCAAAAAACCAGAACACCAATGCCCATGCAGTTATCTTCACATTAATATAAATAATACTAAAATAATATCAAACTTTAGTTTGAAGTGATAACTAAAATATTAACTGATGTAATTAAGTTGACAGGAGAGTTTGTTTTTCATCTTGTTGAATAAGATTTGATTTTTTAAATACGTTAATGGAAAGTAATTCATTCGTCAATTTCAATGTAGATGATTTATGTTTGATTGAACTAAATATGTGAATTAAACCTTGAAAGCTGGGTTATGTTACGAACTAATTGCTAGACTGTACAAGGAGAAACCAATGCTACCATACGAGGGAAAAAAATTAGTAAGATGAAATGCTTTGGTTTGTACCCTTTAGTTATTAAGGTACATGGATGCAACTTCATTCCCTTTCATTCATTGTATTGGTTTGTACTTGGGGGCAAAATTTTTGTTGTGATAACAATAGTACAACCACATAAACCAGGGAGAGTTTGTTTCATTTGGTATGAAACATGCATTTGTTTTCTTGTATGATTTGAAAATGTATGTTAATCTTATATGTATAATGTAAGCATTCAGTTATCCACCTATGATACATACTTGCATGGTTCTTGCAAAGAAAATAAATTGTTAATAACTCTTCTATATCTTTTTTATTCTTAATATAAGACATTACATAAAATAAAAAATTTAAATTTGAAATCGTATAAAATTTTAACTTACAAATCTTATTTTATGAGTCATGTCAACATATAACAATTGCAAAGCACATTCAATTACAATTAAAGGAAATTTGTGAAGCTAATGTATCATTCTAATTATTTTTGGTAAGGGCATTCTAATGAATGCCAAACAAATAATGCGGTGCCCCAACTACACGAAGGAAGGGAACATAAGATTCCCACTATATTCAAAGAGTTTTAATGACAAAACAAGGAACAAATCAGAGAATAGATGACATGACCATACCCAAAAAGGAGAATAAGGTTCGGTTGAGAGTCGTTTCAACTAATGCTTTTAGTTATGAAGCCTCAAATCACTAGTCCATCAAATCGTGCTTTATTATGCGTTTTCTCCTGGCCAGCACTCAACTCCCACCTCCATCTTATGCTATGGTTTATACTCACACAAGTAATTGTTAATATCATATAAAATATTATAAATATGTTTAATTTATTTGATTTTATAATTTATAATTGATTAAAATACTTTAAAACATAATTTATAAATTGATTTTAAAAATAATAAATATCAAATATTTTATTAATTATCAATCACTTTTAACAATCAAAATCAAACATATCTAAAATAGTTTCATATCTAACATAATTTCATGTGACATTAATAATTGTCTGCGTGGCATGTTGATGAAAAAAAAAATATCTGTGTGGCATAACCATGACAGACTTGAAATGTGTACACTTCCTACAATTATCATCAAGGGCAGGCCATGTTCTTGCTCAATGAGAGGCTGCCGTTATGCGCGTGTGGATCATCGTCTGTCTATTCTACTCTTGTTAAGTGCGTTTAGTTTAGGAGAAGAAGACAGGCATTTAAACAAGTGGGCTCTTTCTCTTTTTGAGGAGCATAATTATCATCTCAACTCATCGAATTACCCTACCATGAAATGATGAAGTGACATTTCTCTATATCATTTTGCAACCATTCATAAACCATATAATTGTCCAAACCCTCGTGGTGTAGTGCCCACTTTCCTTTGGAAAAGGTGATAGGAACCTCATCCCCCACCTCCCCAAAATTTTCCCTCGTTCAAAAAAAAAAAAAAATCATAAGATTATAATTGAATTGAATTTACTAAAAAAATAAATAAATAAAAAGTGTTTAACAATTTAAATTATTTTGAATTATAAAACAATAACTCTTATATAAGAGAAGGCTCTTTAATATTAGAGATCTTCTTCATCAAAAATCTATATTTTATAGTCTAGATAACAAAATAAAAAATTAAAATAAATAAATAAGTTATGCCATTTAAATTCGAAAATAATTTCAAAAAGGTAACTTTGTAAAATATATTTTAATTTTACAATTGGGCAGGGTAATATATCAGGCTAAATTCATCATTCTATTTGTTTCCTGAAAAATAGAATACATGTGATTTAAAGCCAACAAGGTGAGGGTTTAGATGTTTTTCTTGTGAAACCTCTTTTGTTCGAGCTCACTGAACTGAACCAACATGTGGCAACCAAAACTCAATACATGTTTAAAAAGCTATCCCATTTCAATTTATTTGGACCCTTTCCTCCAGATTCTAGTACATAAATACTTACATACCTTGAGAATATAAAAAAGGAATTTGCTAGTTCAGAATGACAGAAAAAACACTGTCAATCAATCCGAAGTACCACCACAGCACTTGAATGTAGATGAAGCGATACTATTATGGACTGTGGTTGTTTTCACACCCTACTAATATAGTTTGCTTTTATTTATTTTTTTTTTTCGCAACACTATTGAAAAGGTAAAGGCTATATAAATGGAAGATGGACAAGAGGATAAGACATTACACTAACGATTTGTAGCCATGAGGGGACATGAACCACGTTCAAGCTCTTCTTGCGCAGCTTGCAAGTTCTTGAAAAGGAGGTGCATACCCGACTGTCTTTTTGCACCATATTTCAGATCAGATGAGACAAAGAAGTTTGCCAACGTACACAAGGTGTTTGGAGCCAGCAATGTGAGCAAGATCCTGATTGAAGTGCCAGAGGAGCAACGGGAGGACACAGTAAATTCTCTGGCATATGAGGCGGAGGTGAGGCTCAAGGATCCTGTCTACGGTTGCATTGGTGCCATAGCTATGTTGCAGAGGAAGATGATCGAGCTACAACATGATTTGGCAATTGCCAGAGCTCGCCTTGCTTGCTATGCTGGAAATTCTTCTGCTTCCAGTATCACACCTTTCAGTGGACTTCCTGCTTGTGATGGATTCCCGGACAGCTTCAGTCACACTTCATCTGAAATAAATCAAGATGGACAGATGTATGACTTTAGCCAAGTTCCATATATGATGAGGCATGAATGATCTGTGTCTTTCTCTTGTTTTATAAATAACTCTGAAAATGCTTGGACTCATGGCCTTTAATTTTATGTTCTGGAGCAAGAAATATGCAGTAAATTAAAGGAATTTTCAAAATGAACAAGCTAGAATGCTTAGCATCTTAAGAAAAATGATCATTTTTAATGATAAAAGAACTATTGAGTCAATCTTTAAGAATGTAAGTTTTCTTGTCCTTTAGAAAAAATCTTCAAGAATGTCGGCCAAAGAGGTACCTCAAGTTTTCTGATAGTCGTCCCACCACCCAATAAGAATCACATGCCGCTGTTAGTGAGCTTTGATGAATTCTTCAAATGTGTGAATTATGACCAATATTTTCCGTTGTTGACCTGTTTGTTGTCCTCAATAATCTGCCTTCACCATGTGACCCTACAGTCGTATCTCCTACAATATTGAGTTAAAAGTCATACAGTAATAGGTATCAATACAGAAAATGGGCTGACAATTTGCTCTGCAAGAGATCTAATTATTGATTATTTCTTCTCCAGATGAACCGATAAACTATCAAAATAATTCATTACGAAAGAACCATGTTTTGGGCAAAAGTTACATATGGAGATAACACAGGTCAGATGGAGTGCCTTAAAGTTCAAAGTTGCCAAAAGCTCCAAAAGAATTCTGATCAAATCAGCACTGTCTTTTCTTAAGTTCAGAGATGTATACAAAAATACAATGCATCATAGATTAGACATTTCTAACATAGCAATTGATAAAATCATAAACACAAGGCACTGATAATTAACTGCTTTACAACATGGAAAATTCTAGGGAACTCTAATTAAACAACTAGTTATATACACGAAAAATTAAGAACTTCAAAGGCTTTGGTCTTCAAATTGTTGGCTCTTACAGACAGGGGGCCTCTACCCGAGTGCTTGAGATCCAAGGAAGAGTAATACATATACACTAACTGCTTCTTTTTCTAGATCGAGTACCCACCAATCTCCTAGTGCTTCTTCCCTGTTCAAGAAATCCAAGGTTCCCAAGAAGCTTATTAGAACCTATACATAAGCTGAGGATACACATCTAACAAGCAAGATCAGCTTGAGAAAATGAAAGCAAAAGAGCAATGAACTGAAAATCATAAACAATCATATCTATAAGTCCATAACAGAGAGCTGGAAAGGCATGTACATGAATGCCCCAATCCAACTACGATAAATATCACACAAGAATTGTTTACATTCATTTTCTCATAGCACTCCTACACATTGAGTTCTCATATAAACATGAATCAACAGGCTTTGACAATATCACAAAATCTCGCTGGTAACCACAAGACTAGTTATGCACAATGCATTTAAGATTCAGCAATCAGCATGAAGAAGACTAAGATAAGACAATTGTCGTATTTGCATAGAGATGGTGAGGACTCAAGCAGCACCATTATCACTGTCATTGATAAAGAAAGTAACTTGAACCAAAAACAGACCAGTAAACATGCCAATCTCTGACCTTTTAAGGGGAAACTTGATCAGAATAGCCCACACCAACCCTATCCCTACTTCAAATATCATGTAGTTGACAAGAAAAAATCAAATCCATTTATCAAATTATTAACGTTTTGAGGAAGATGGGATAGTATTCAACCTGTGCGAGTCAGAAGCTTTTGCCGCTTCAATTTCTCCATCTCCAATTGGGCATCCACGAACATGTTCATCCTCTGGAACTCAAGATCCTTAGCAAATTCCATTCTCTGCCTCTCCAATTCCATCATCTGCTGTTGCTTTGAGCTCTCGACCCTCTCGTAGATCTCCCCGAACTTCAATATGGCCCTCGCTAATTCCCTGCACGCAGCTCCATCAGACAGCCCTACATCTTCCACTCGATGCTCCTTCTTGACCTCATCAGCGGCATCATCGTCATCATCGAACGAGCTCTCTGTTGTCTTCGATCCCTTCAGGAAAGCCGAAGACTTGGGGTTGACGGGGAAGCTAACGGGCGGGGGCTTTTTGGTACCGGAGGAGTTGTTAGCACCGATGAGATAATCGAGGCGTTGAAAAAAGGGCCATTTCGACGGTGAGGGTTTGGCCCTTTCCACTTTGTACTTCTTCTTCAACGTGTCGATGCGGTTCTTACATTGAACGTCGGTCCTGCGGGACTTGGCGCCGTCGTTAACAGCGGCGGCGACTTCTTGCCAGTCCTTTTGACGGAGGTTGCCTCGATTGAGTCGAAGGTAACGCTGACCCCACGCCTCGATCAGCGTGCCGGTCGCCTCCTCGCTCCAGCAGTCTTCACGACCACCGCCAGAGGCGGAAGAGTGGGAACCGCGAGGGTTCATGGAAGGGATGCTAAGTTGCTAACTTGCGCCGGGGAGTTCAGGATAAGGGGAAAAGGAACTGGATTCGGAGAGCAAATGCGGAGAAGTAGAGATGTGGCCGGGCATTGTGACCGGCGGTGACGTCACCCTGTTTTGGTGTTGGACGGAGTAGTACCCTTTGGACTTATTATAATTAACTACCTAATCTAATTTCTATGTTCATTTTAGCAGCTAATCTGGTAGACCATCTATAAATCTACACCTTCCAAACAGTAGAATTCATTAATAAAAAATTCAATTTCACAAGGCATAAAGCATTTAAGAATTAAAAAGGGGTTTTTTTTTTTAAATTCATATTGTAGTTTTTTTTTTATTAAACCTTGATTATTTAAAAATTATATTAAATTTTAATTAATTCAGAGTTACGGTTGAGTTAGGTTTCATCAAAAAAAGTTTTATTTTTTTTAGGTAAAATACCCAAATTCACCTTCAAAATATAGTGGTAGGGACGGATTTATCCAAAATAAAAAACAGAGACAAATCCACCCACAAAGTTTTCGACTTGGTTAAATTAACCCAAATTTAACATGTGACATCATTTACCATTAGCAATCCATTAATTCGTTAACGGATCACTGACATCAGATGATGTTAAATTAACAAATTACTGATATCAAATGATGTCACACATTAAATTTGAGGTGATTTGTTTAAATTAAAAACTTTATTAGTGGATTTGTTCCCATGTTTTGTTCAAGATGAATCCATTCCTACCACTATATTTTGGGGATAGATCTAAATTTAAAATTTTATTTTAAAAAATCAATCTCCTTCCACTTTAATTAACAAATCATTAACAGGGTTTATATTATAGTAAATTACAAAGATCTTGACACTCATAAAAAGTTCATCCATCTAATAATTATTATTTTGCATTTAAGACAATTCAAATTGTATAACACTCTGTTCTTCCATTTCTCTTACCTGCCTTCGAACCCAAGACCTACTAACTCAAGCATTCTGAAACCAGATGCTCAGCCAGCAGGTCAAGGTAAGGACCGGTCAAATTGTATAACACTAAACTTA